ATTGGACAATTAAAACAGACATTCGGATGGCAGGGGAAGAAGAACAAACTGGGGAGGAGGGTAGAGAGAATGGTGCAGCAATGAAGGAATGAAAACCCGAAATCCCTGTAAATGTTCATTAAAACTAATAAAATTTAATAATAATTTAAAAAAGTATGTTGAAAAACAAACAACTCATTTGCTTTGTAAACTTTTACTCAAATCACAAGAAAAATGAGAATCAATCAAACAAAAAGTATTTGAAAAGAAAGAGCAGTCCAGAAATAGTGGTTAGACAGCCAGTGACTGTGCAACCAACAGAATACTGCTGTTGTTGTTGCTAGGTTCCAATGAGTCAAACACAACTCACAGCCTTGTGAATAACAGAACGGAACCCTGCCTTATATTGTGCCAACCTCACCATCCCTGACACACTCAGCTCATTGCTACCACCCGGTGTAGATTCATCTTATTGAGGGTCTTCCGTTCCTTCACTGACCCTCCACCATTCTCAGCATGATGCCCTTTTCTAAGGACCAACCCCTCTTAACAACATGCCCCAAATATGTGAGACTAAGTTTCATTATCCTTGTCTCTAAGGAGCTTCCAGCTGCACTTTCTCCACGACCTATTTGTTTGGTCTTTTGGCAGTCCACAATGTGGTAAGAAGCTGTGCTGCAATGCCAAAGGTACAAGGTTTGAATCCAACATCTGATCCACAGGAAAAGAAGGAGCCATTTCTTTCTGTGGACTGTCTCTGAAAACTCACTTGAGGGTCAACTCTGAGTCAGTTCTGGCTTGATAGCATACAACAACAACAATATGGACTAGTCAGTACTCTTCCCCAACACCACAACTCACACTCATCAATTCTTCTTCTGTCATTCTTATTCATTGTATAACTTTCAGATGCACAGCAAGTAATTGAAAAGACTGTAGCTTTTAGTGATGATTAGTCTTTCAACTGACATCACTGCTCCTCACTGTCCTTGGTATCTTATTTCCCCAAGGCAGCACGTATTTTGATTTCTTGATTGCTATCAAGATGTTAGGCTGTGGATCTATGTGAGATGAAATTGCTAACAACTTCAATCTTGGCTCCATCTATCCTGGTGTCATTTACTGGCCTCCCCATCATGACCAGCATCCTATTTACACTGGATGCAGGGGTCCATGGGTCCCAAGCAGGAGCTGGTGCTGGAATCTGAGAGAGCCACCGTATCCATGTTAGCTGCATACCCGCATGATAAACTCCTACTTCCCTAACCCCTCCACTTCCTGCTTCTCCTTTTTCATTAGTGGAAGCCACCATTCAGATTATTTTCCTCAAACATTTGATCAAAGAGACAAAAACAGTCAGATGCTGATGGGCTTTGGAGTTTTACTGTTGCACAGAAGCTGTACCACAATGATTTAAACACCACATGCAAGCTGAATTTAGAAGAGCAGAAATGAAAGGCTGGACAAAAAGAAATGCTGCAGACTCAGAGAAAAGAAGAGATGGAAAGTGAGAGAGAAAGACTTTTGTGTCTTTCCAGTTCCCTTGATAAGTCTAAGTCCTGGAGGTGGGCTCATAAAATTCTGATTTCCATTTTCTAAAGGTACAATGAATAGGTTTGTCCTCTTTACCTCTCAAAAATTTCTAATTAGCATATAATCTACTTTGATTCTAAAGAACACTATCATAGTTAAATAGCTCTGGGAAGTCTTGGTAGTTTTCTTCCTTTTTCTGCTTTAATATCAATAAAACTATACTCAAGAAAGTGTCCCCTTTGTAGATATAAAGAAGAATTACCTTTACATTACAAAAGAGATGGGAGTAATTTATCCCTTTGATTTTGATCCCCAGCCTGGCCTCCTTGAATAACCTGACCTGTGGTTATTTCTTGACTTACAGATAGTATATACACTAAGAACAATACACAGTATATAATAGCTGTGATTTATAACTTAGATGGCTGCATATAAGCTATACACAGGTAATATATAACTTCCACTGAAAATTTATCCAGAGAAATGGGCTTTAGTGTGTCAGGAAATGTGAGGATGGCACAGGATAGGACAGGGTTCAGATATGCTGTTCATAATTTTGTTATGGGTCGGACTCGACTCAATGGCACCTAACAACAACAACAGCAACAGCAAAAATTTCTTTATTGTTTGAAATGAAAATGTAACTGGGAATATTACAGCTAAATTTGGCTACCTTATTCTTATCTTGGACACACCAGCTGTTCTACAGAAAAAAGATGGGAAATATCGTCCTATGCGATTTACAATTTCTGAAAACCCACCAGAGAGGGGGAGCTAGAACTCACTTGCAACTTAACAATGATAATGATAATGACATTGGAAGCAAGCGTGGCATCCACTTCCTAAACAAGCCTCTGGAGACTCTACGAACTTTGATAAAGGATAGTAGTTATAGAAAGGCTTCAGGCCTTTCATTCATTGGGTCGTTATGAGTCATACTCACAGCAATCAACAACAACAAAGACAATGACTATGACCTTTTCTTGAGCCTAACTTCTCTTCATTTTGTCCTTCTCAACCACCCACTTCTCACTTATCCACATAGTTGGGTTTCAAAGATCTCAGATTTCAAAGTTGTGTTTCAAAGGTTAAGTCATTATTTGAAAATAGAGGATCGTTATTAAATCACTAAGAATATTGGACAAGGAAAAGTGACACGTAATCATCAGGGTCAGTGTTAACTTTCATCTCAATCCTCTGCATTCTGTAGTGTCAGATGCCCATTGTTACTGGGAGGAATAGACATATTTTTTTACTTTTATCATAAATGCAAAATGCCACATGAATAATAGAGCTGTTGTATTTGTTTACCAGACCCTGAGCTTCTTGAAGACAAGGATTAGGGATCATTATTATTTTCCTCTGAATTTCTACACATTAGCATGCCTTGGCCCGCAAGCTTTCAAAATCAAACTGCACTGTCAAATTCCTAGTTTTGTTTGAAAAGTCTGGTTGAAAAGCCATCAATCCTTTCTGTTCCCTTGAGTCAAAAAATTCGGCATGTACAGTACCTTACAGAAGTCACTCCATTGTCCAGGCCCGTTCTCATTAATGGCTCGAACTTTAAATAGATATTCAGTGTTGGGGGTCAGGTTGTGCAGCTCCAGATTCTGCTGCATTATGTCCCGAATTTGTCCACAGAGCTCTGTCTGCATGTCATCGGGAGAGTGAGTGACAGTTTCGTAGAACTCCATTTCAAAGCAGTCCACGTCTTCCATTGGGCATGTCCAGTAAATCTGTGGAAGAAATGAATATTTTGATAATGATTTGCATTGTTGACTGCCTTGAGGGTGAATTCAAACTGATCCATCATCCCCATTAGCTGCTGAAAACTTTAAAATAGTCTAAGTCGGAGGAAGAATGTGGCAGTTGCTTCCAGGCCTCATCACTCTGTAAGAAACCTGATAACATTTAAGGTGGCTAGATTAAAGACCAGACCAGACAATGAATCCTGATAAAGCTCTGGCCTGATTATAAAAGTGCAAGCTCACGTTAATGAATAGTCCCAAATTCTTCAACTGTTTTTCCTAATCTACCATAAGTAAAATAAGTTTGGAGGACTATAGGACAAGGCTTACATGGTGATACAATGAGTTTCAAGACCAAACGAATGTCCCTCTAGGTCCTATTACTGGCAGAATTATTATGGCCACCATTTACTGAATATGTCACACATATGAAGGGTTTCTGGTGGCGTAGTGTGTTACATGCTGGGCTGCTAATCAAAACCACACTATGAGGGAGAAAGACGGGTACTCTATTCCCACTAGATTCACAGGCTTGCAAACTGTAGAGGATCACTATGAGTCAGAGTTAATGCAACAGAAGTGGTTTTTAAACTATTTTTATACCTTTGATTCCTTGTCAGACATTTCTTGACCCAACTCATTTAATTCTATAAACCCTTGGAATGTGATATTACTATTCCGTTTTACTAAAGAGAGTTAGGAAATTTACATTTAGTGACTTTCAGTAGAAGAATAGAACAGAGGCTGATATGTTAATTTAGTAAACTTCTCTGTCTGTATGTATTTTATACATAAAGGGACGGAGCTGTAGAAATGTAAAATGATTGAGCTAATCAATGGAGAGCTAATGTTTACATATACTTTGTTCACCACCCTAATGAGAAGAAACTCTGACCTGACAAATCACCCCAACTTCAGTCTTTGGCTGGGCTGGCAGATACACTATCCCAGGCCAGAGAGTTTGTTTTTAATTTCTGAAAGCATGTATTATGTTTTATAATATTAATTTGTTTACTTGTTTTATAGTTTGCTTTTATGACAGCAGCAATTATGGGTCACTTTGTTGTATTAGTAGGGTTCTTTATGTGTTGTGGCTTGTTTTCTTGTTTGTGTGTGTGCATGTTTACTTGTTTGTAGTTTCTGCCTTTGGGCACAGCATTTGTCTGCCCACTTGCTGTACTGGAGTGACTTGTATGTTATTGTGATACTAGAAGGTATGCCGCCATGTCCATGGATAGGAAGACTATATATAGAGAAAATGACAATTCTACCAAAGGCAATCTACAAGTTCAGTGCAATTCCAATACAGATACCAATTCCATTCTTCAATGAGATGGAAAAGGTAATTTCCAATTTTATCTGGAATGGAAAGAGACCCCAGTAAGCAAAGAATTACTGAAAGAGAGAAACAAGGTAGATGAGACCACACTCCTTGATCTCAAATCCTACTACAGAGCCTTAATAGTCAAGACATCATGGTACTGGTACAGGAACAGACACATAGATCAATGAAAGAGAATTGAGTGCCCAGCAATCAACTCATCTATCTATAGTCAACTGATTTGTGACAAGCAGATGAAATCAGTTAAGTGGGGAAATCACAAAGTCTTTAAAAAAATGTGTTTGCAAAATTGGAAAACCATCTGCAGAAAACTTTAGCAGGTCCCACACCTCACACTGTACACAAAAACCAACTCAAGAACATTATGCTGAGTGAAATATCCCAGTCACAAAGAGACAAATATTACATGATGCCACTGTTGTAGAAGGGGACTGTCCTTGGGGCTGGGGAGAGACTGAGTAAGATGGGTTCAATAATGTGTGCTGCACTGAAACAGAGGAGGGAGAAAACTGTTTAAAAGAGATATATAACTGGGTATTTCTGTCATCACAGGAGTCTAGAGCGAGGGCTACATGGTGGAGGGGACCTGGGGGGGTTTGTGGAACAATGAAAGAATCTTTTCTTTTACTTTTCCATAATTTTTGACTCATGTACTTATAACTTGTTAGTCAAACCTGTGTCTTCTAGGTTGCAACACCCCCATGATACATCTTCAAGGATATGAACATGTATGGCCAAGCACAATCAATAAGAGTGCATCTAAATTCCAAAATCAATCTCCATAGTAGTCTATGTGTTTCCTACTGCCAAAGGGGCCCTTTAGAGTAGTGAGAGAAGATCTTCACCCTGAAACCCGCAGCGTCCCTTTTCAGCAAGAAGTAGCTAAGAGAATACGCCATTCCCTTTTCCTTATGACTCAGGGTGAAGTCTCTCTCAGGGAGGAGTGATAGGGAATGGCAAAGGACACACTGACAAAGAAGATTAATCAGAACTGGCTTTGACAAGCACTGTGGCATTTGGACAAGAACAGACTGGGAGGAGGGTAGAGAGAATGGTGCAGCGGTGAATGAATGGAAACCCAAAATATCTGTAAATGTTTATGAAAATTAATAAAATATAATTATAGAAAAAAAAACCCCAACCAACTCAAGGTAGATCAAGGACCTAGGAGTAAAACTGAAGACTGTAAAATTCATCAAAGAAAAGCTAGGACCAGTTCTAGAAGTCTTAACATACAATATGAACAGACATTGAACAATAATGAAAAATCTACAACCAGAAGAGTAAAATAGGTGAATGAATAGAAACCTAAGAATGAAATTACTATGCGCATCAAAAATCTCCAATAGGATGAAAAGGAAACCCACAGATTAGGAAAAAAGTTGATAATGACATATCTGATAAGGAGCTAAGATCTAACATTTATAGAATACTCCAGAAACTCAGCAAGATAAAGGTAAACAACTCAATGGCAAAATAGGCATTAGGATATGAAGAAACACTTCACCAAAGAAATTCAGATATAGGCAAAAACCACATGAAGAAATGTTCAAAGTCCTTAGCTATCAGAGAGATGCAAATCTAAACAACTATGAGATATTATCTCATCCAAGCAACAATGGCAAAGTTCAACAGCAAACAACAAACAACACATGCTGGTGAGGTTGTGAAGAGATTGGAACTTTTATTCATTGCTGGTGGGAGTGTAAAATGGTACAACAACTATGGAAGGCAGTTTGGAGCTTTCTCAAAAAGTTGGAAATAGAAATACCATTTGACCAATCTACTCCACTGTTGTTGTTATGTGCCATCGAGTCGCTTGCGACTTATAGCGACCCTATGTACAAGAGCTCTAAACGCTCTTCTATCCTGTGCCAACCTAGCCATCTCAAATGCACTTATTCCCACCTCTCCAGTCACAGAATCGATCCATCTCATCGAAGGTCTTCTTCTCCTTCGCCACCCCTCCACTATACCTTAAAAAAACCAGAGCTGTGACTGAAACAGATATATGCCCATAGAACAATAACAATACCAGTACATATAACAATAACACATACCAATAAACACCTATCTTTATTGCTGTGTTATTCACAATAGCAAAGAGATGGAAGCAGCCCAAGTGCCCATCAACCAATTAATTGGTAGGAAAACTGATACTTTTACACAATAGCGCACTGAATCAATGAACTTATAAAACATTATATAACGTGGGTGAACCTGGAAGACATTATGCTGAGTGAAATACCTCAGTTACAAAAGAACAAATATGACATAACATTGGTACTATAAAACAGGAATAAATAACATGGAGGTTGGGGGGAATAGTAAAAGAGTGGATAGACAATGAATACTGTATTGGAACGGATGAGGTGACGGATTGTCAGAAAGGAATGTATGATTAGGCATTATGTGTATGAATCTGGAACAAGCGGTGCATTACTAAGAGGACTGGGGGAGGGGAAGGGACAGGAAGGGAGGAAAATGTGGAACAAGGAATAAATGAAAATCCAACCTTTCTGTAAACTTTCATTAAAATCACAATAAAAAATTTAAAAACAAAAAAAGTATTATTTTATTATCCTAAAATCCTAAAGAGGAGTGCTAAACAACTGTCATTTGAAAAAGAATTCAACACATCTTTTAGTTAGCACTATGACTGATGCACGAACTTTAGTTCATGAACTTAAAACAGTGGGCAGTGATAGTTTTACATCAAATTGAACTGTTTGCTAGTAAGTTTTGGTGTCTTGAAAGCTAAGAAGTATACACAGTGTCATGACTAGGTTCTTCTGTGTGGATTCACTTTGAGCTCATGACTAATACATGGCATGGTGTGACTAGTTGCCAAGATCAGCCTTTTTGCTAACCTCTCAAGAGGTTACCAATAAACATGGTTACCAATAGGTTATCTCCATGTCATCACATGGAGATGATACCCAATGCCATTCTTGAAAGAAGGGTATATATACTGATCCAACATCATTTGGAAATGTATGTTTAATTGCTTTATGTGGTCACTTCTTGTGTGACAAGCAGAGATACTGTTATGTTCCAACTGTCCATGAAAAGTTATGTTCAACTCCATGCAGTATGGTAATTGTCGCCATCAGCTATAGACCACAAAACAGACATCTTAGAAGAAAAAATAAAATTTCGTCTACTTCTAGCCTTCATTTAACTGATTTTAGACCCTTGATATTAAAATGTAGTGTGCAGATGTACCAGTATTGACAATGCTTGGAAGGTTCTGAGAAACATAGAATCTCAGGTCTCATTAGATCTACTTTTATTTTAAATAAGTTTTCCATGTTTGTATTAATGTTTGGGGAGCACTCTGGTGACCTAGTGGTGAGGAATTGCACTGGAAACCCAAAGATACACAGTTCAAATTCGCAGAAGAAAGATGAGCTATCTCCTCCTGCAATTAATTGCCTCTGAAAGCCCATTGTAGGGTCAACTGTGCGTTGGTTCAGACTGGACAGTGCACATCACCACCACCACCACCACCACCAACACAATAGTTTAGGCATCAGAGAGGCCTGGTAGCCTGGTGGTAAGGAGTTATATTGCCAAACCAGAGACAAGTGGTTCAAACCTACTAGCTGCTCTTGAGGAGAAAGATGGACAATCTTCTCCCATGCAATTTACTGCCTCTGAAAATCTGCTAGAGGTCAGCTTTTTCTCAAGTCCTACTTGATGACACCTAACAACAACAATTTAGATGTCAAGGATCCTGCAAGTCTTTGAAGGACGGTGCTCTTAGATTACGTATGGGGGCATACACTGGTCCCTGCCACCTGATTTGGCCCGGCTGGCATCCCTGCAGGAAACCCAAGAGAAAGTAAGGTAACTCTAGTAAAATGTTTCCTTGCATGCTAACATATTTCCCTCACTAAAATGCAATATTCTAGAAATAGTTTAATATGTGATTTATAAAAACATTAAGAGGAAGACCATTTGTCCACATTGGCTTAAGAGTAAGGAGGAGTCATATCTCCAGAGGCCAATGTAATGGTAAGTGTGAAGATCTACAATGAAATTAATTTGACCTCCCTCAATACTTTTCCTTGTTGGTTTAGTATTTCCTCCAGATTGAATAGCTTTTGTTTCTGGCATGCTCCTATCCTGTAATAATACTCTGAACCCTCGGGTCTCAGGACTATCCCTTCTACTCCCCAGCAAACACTGAATCTTAAAAGAGTTGGAATTCCTTTGGGGATCACTCCTCTATGCTAGACTGTAGACTCTAGATATTTTCTTTGGAAAAAGATAACCATTTAGCTGACATATTGACCTACATTTCTAACTTTGACTTCAAGACTATGAAAAATAATTTCCAAAATATTCCTTCAAATTGCATAGACATTCCAAATTCATTTCCCATTTGAAAGAGGATCCTCCTGTGCCCTTTTTGAGTGTGATTAGGGCTTTCAGAGACATTTCTGACTCTTGTTTATTTGGTGCTGAGTGGCAATCAACTCATAGTTGACACTCCAGCAGGTTCTCATGGCTATAAATCACACGGGAAGAGATTTCTCTTCTTCTCTTGGGGCCACAGATATATTCTAATATCCAGAGAGGTACAACTTTTGGGTCAACAGATCAACTCTGTATGGATTGACTGCTCAATTTAACCCAATCTTGAACTACTGAAGACTTCAGGTTTGTTGTTGTTCAGTGCCAGCAAATCAATTATGTATCATAGTAGCTCTATGAACCACAGATCTGAACCTTGCCTTATCCTGCAACATCCACATGATCTCTGTAATTCTCCAGATCATTGTCACTATATCAATCCATTTTCTTAAATGTCTTCCCCTCTTTCTCCAACCTTTCCCAGCATTACTTCAGGAACTAAGTTATTTTGGATGAACTGACCACAGAAGGGCAGATTTGACTAATCAAACTTGAGCATTTAAAGAGACAAGCACACCGATCAACAAATGAATGGATAGAAAAATGATGGTATATCCACACAATGGAATATTATGCAGCACTGAAAAATGATGACCTTGTAAAACGTTACTCCACATGGGGGACCCTGGAGCAAATCATGCTGAGTGAAATATCTCAGTCACAAAAGGATGAATACTGCATAGCACCACTGTTACAAAGCAGGTAGGTCTGTCATGGAGAGTTGGGGGGAGACTAGGATAAGAGTGGATTGATAATGACCACTGCATTGGAACAGATGAAAGAAAGAACTGTATAAAATTAATATATGATTAGGCATTATATGTATGACAACAGCCAAGGATAAGAGATCTATCCTTCCAAAGAGGACGGGGAGCTGGGAGAAGTAGGTAGTTGTGGAACAATGAATGAATATTAAAAAAAAAAAAAGAAGAAGAGGGAAGGGAGGGCAAGGATAGAAAATGTGCAACAATGAAGGAATGAAAATTTAACTTCTCTGTAAACATTTGTTAAAATCAAAATTAAAATAAAATCTTATTTAAAAAAAGGAGTGGGAACAATTAATGCGATGTTTTACATTGTACAGATTTTTTAGTATTTATTTATTTTTGGATTAATTTTAATGAAAGTTTACAGAGACTAAGGGTTTCCATTCATTCATTGTTGCACTTTTCTCCCTGCCCACCCCTCTGCCCCCCATTTCTCTTTGAAAAGTAAAAGAATATTGTATATCTTTAAAATAAAAGAATCAAAAGGGGGAAAAAAATCAAAGAGGCAAGCACGACCATCCCCTGATGTCCACTTCTGTCGACCCTTGTAACTACCTTCCCCGGGCCGGGCTCTGAGCCCTTCTTACCTTGACTGCTCTTGGGTATACGAGAGTCTGATAGATCACGATTGGACCTGGGGTCTTCACTGAGGTATCGTTGAGCGAGAACCAGTTGTGGAAGCTGTTGTCGTTATGCAGCGCCTGGCTTTCTGGGGCTGCACTCCAGAAGGTACACAGGCCGTCTGTAGGTTTAGCAGGCATGGCAGACAGGGCTCGTCCGCGGGCATCTAGATTCCCCTTGGTCTTCTCGTTGGGGGTGCTGAAGGACAACAAGGACGAGCTTCGCTGGCACAGCTTCTGGTTGGCTAAGCTGTGAGCGCTGAAGGTGACCTTCCTGGTAATCATCATGTCTGAGTGCACGGGGTAGGGGCCTGGCAGGGAGTCCCCGGAGGAGCAGACCTTTTTGGGTCTTGTGGGGAAGAGATCATGGATGGCAGCTGACAGCTCAGCAAAGTCCAGAGACAAACAGTCAGAGGAGTGCAGGCGAAGCTGCGGGTCAGGGCGATAGGTGCTCTGGATGCCATCCTCAATCTGGTCCACCAGAAGCTTGGCTGACTGCAGGAACGCCACCTGGCCCGTTTCCTTCAGCGCCTCCTTGGAGTAGGCAATCAGGCCATCCATTTCCCTCACCTTCAAAGTGGTCACTCTCACGTACTTCTCTATCTCTTTCTGCCTGGCCACCTCCAGGTTCTCGATCTGCTCCATGATGAGTTTCTCTTTCTCCTGAAGGATGCTCCGCAGGCTGAGAAAGCCGTTTCTGATCTCCTTCCGCTTCACCTCCTTGTTGGCTTTAAAACTGTTTTTTAAAATGTTGAATTCCATCAGGTCGTTGTCAATTTCATATCGCACTGGAAAACAACCAAGGGAGTTACTTCAGTTAAAATTCTGGGGGTGGGGAGATATCAAAGCCATTTTAGCCAGCTAGAGAAGATGGCTTTGACAGTGGAGAGGGAGGGAAGGAATCATTTGTGGCTTTGTTGGGTGACATCGAGTTGCAGCTTTAGCAAGCTCATGTTCAACACTATGAAACTCTGCCCAGCTCTGTACTAATGTCACAGCACCTGCTACTGGGCCCACGCATCCTACAAGAAGTTGACGATATTTGCCTTCCTAAGATTCAACAGTCTTGGCACCAGCAGCCAGGAAATTAAAAGGCACATTGCCATGGGAAAGTCTGCTGTTAGGGACCTCTCCAAAGTGCTGAAGAGCAATGGTATCTCTTTGGAGACTAAGGTGCGTCTGATACAGGCCATGGTCTTCGCAATCACCTGTTATGCATCAGAGAGTTGCACAATGACCAAGGAGGATAGAAGGAGAATTGATGCCTTTGAGCTGTGGTGCTGGAGAAGAGTATTGAGAATACCATGGACTGCTAGGAAAACAAACAGATTTGTCCTGGAAAGGGTTAAACCAGGTGGCTCCTTGGAGGCAAGGATTCTGAGGCTCCGTCTAACATACTTTGGACAAGTTGTGAGGAGAGACCAGTCCTTGGAGAAGGACATCATGCTTGGGAGGGTGGAGGAACAGTGCAGGAGAGGAAGGCCCTCTATGAGGTGGATTGATTCAGTGACTGGGATAATTGGGATGGGAGTGTCAGAGACAGTGCGATTGGCACAGGACAGAGCGGAGTTTAGGGCTGTTGTACATAGGGTCGCTATGAGTCACAGGCGACTCAACGGCACATAACAACAACAACAAGATTCATCCTCGAGAGGGTTAAACCAGGCTGCTCCTTGGAGGCAAGGATTCTGGGGCTTCGTCTGACATACTTGGTCATGTTGCAAGTAGAGACCAGTCCTTGGAGAAGGACATCATGCTTGGGAGGGTGGAGGAACAGTGCAGGAGACAAAGACCCTCTATGAGGTGGATTGATTCAGTGACTGGGGTACTCGGGATGGGAGTGTCAGAGACAATGAGATTGGCACAGGACAGAGCAGAGTTTAGGGCTGTTGTACATAGGGTCGCTATGAGTCGCAAACGACTCGATGGCACATAACAACAAGCACATCCTACCCGTGTTCTTCTCTTCAAACTGCTTTCAAGTACAATCAGCTATCCTTCCTGGCATACTTCTTTCCTGAAATAATAATCGCTGAGGGGTTGGGTGTCAAGTTGGAAGTTCAAGGTTACCTTTGACACGGATTTTGGCCACATTTCACTTTGTGCAAGTTAGAGCCGGAGAAGAAGGGATGTCACAAATCAACTGGCCTTACTTTTCCCTATAGGAACCTTAAACTTTTGCAGGTCAGAAGAAAGAACTAGGATTTCTCATGATTGCCTCTAAGTGCTTTGTTCACCAGGAAGCTAACCATTGACAACAGTGAGAAATCGGCAAAGTTTCCTTCACCGAGGTTGCTCTTTGATGTGCCATTATTTCTCCACTGAAGTCTACTGCTTCTCTGGTGGTTTGGTTGGGCTCTCTGTCTTGCTGCTCCCTATCCATTTCCTTTTACGAAATGATATGCTGTTAAACTTCAAGGAGAACTCAATTATTTCCTATCCTTGCTTGTGAATTTGCATTATAAAGTCACTCAACATACATTTACTAGATGTCTGTCACTTTTCACTTGGTTATTCTAGACATTAAGGATACAAAGGGATGATTTTCCTGAAGGAGGAGGAGGAGGAGAAGGAGGAGGAGGGAGGAGGAGGAGGAGGAAGGAGGAAAAAGGAGAAGAATCCAAATATGAAATAAGAGGATATTGTCCTCTTGGGAACTTATAAACTCAGTGACATTGTGGAGGTAGCTGTAACTGAATCAGCAAGCTGGGAAATGGACTTGTGTATGGCTTGAAAGGGTTTTAGTTGTTGTGGTTGTTAGGTGCCATTGAGTCAAATACAACTCACAACGACCCTATGAACAGCCACCTTGAAACCTGCTCTACCCTGTGCCATCTTCATCCTCTCTGACACACTAGAACCCATTGCTGAAATCACTGTGTCAATCCATCTCATTGTAGGGAGTCTTCCTCTCCTTTGCTGACCCTCCATATTTCCAAGCATGACATCCCTCTCCAAGCAATAGCCTTACCCAGCTATATACCCAAAGCACGAAAGATGAAGCTTCACCATCTTGGTTTCCTAGGAGCACACTGGCTGCAGCAATTTGAAGACATGTCAATCAGCTATGGTCTATAACACAGGTAGGTTCCTCTCCATTAAAGGGAACTCTGACATGAATGGATACACTACTAGTCTTACTAAATATTGGTCAGGTGTGGGAATGACCAATTCTTAATCCACATGGCTCCTTAAAAAAACCCCACAGGATATGAACAGACGCTTCACCAAGGAAGACATTCAGATGGCCAACAAACACATGAAGAAATGTTCAAAATCCCTAGCCCTGAGAGAGATGCAAATCAAGACAACCATGAGATATCATCTCACTCCAGTA